ACTGACTGACTGGACACTCCAGTACATTAACACTGCACTGAGAGAGAGGGGTTCATACAGACACACTGACTGGACACTCCAGTACATTAACACTGCACATGAAGCAGACTCAAACACTCGCTGACAGGAAGCTGCAGTCCAACTGACCCAAGACGAAGCTCCTACTGTGCAGGGGCTCGGAATGAGTAGCATGTTTTGGCCGGTAGTTTTATTGACCACACTTCCCCCTGGGGGAGAAGCAGTAGGAGACTCCCAACTCTAAAGATTCAATGTTTTTTCCTGTTCAGTTTGAGAAATCTGCCTGCACACTCCAGAGCTTTTCTTCAGCCTGGAGCGTGACAACACCCTGCGCCTCCCCGATGCCCCGGGAACAGGCCTGGAGCTCCGCCTGGTGTTCCAGGTCAAGGGTGAGAGAGAGACCCCCGCGCACCCCAGAGAAGAAGCGCTGGGTCAGCAGCCATGGACGCACAGAGGAGAGTGTGCGACTCCAAGCTTGCTCGGCCACATTCGCCCACCCATTTTCTAACAGCTTTATCCAGGCCAGTCCAGTCTATCCCAGTGAGGGAGCTGGAGTCTACCCCAGCAAGCAACGGGTTCAGGGCAGGGTACACCCTGGATGGGACGCCAGTCCATCGTGGGGCAGACACAGAGACACACCAGGGCCAGTCTGGTGTATTAACATGGGGAGAACATACAAACTCCACACAGACAGCACCCCAGGAATGGTGCCCAGGGCCCCAGTGCTGGCAATGCTCACCACTGTGCAACAGTGCCACCCAAAATGAACCCACTTTAGCTGGAACAGAGATGGAACCTGAGCCACGCTCTCCATGTGGGCCGTTATCCAAAACCGTTCTTGGGAAGCCCCACGGGTAAGTAAGTGTGTTTGGGTCCACACTCGTTCCCTATATGACTCGAGAGGAGCTCCACAACCCCTGACCTCTGACCCCTGACCTGTGGCTTGAAGTTGTCCAGCATGACAATGTCTGCCCCAGCGAGCGCAGCCTCTCTGCCCTCCTCCTCGCTGCCGCACTCCACCTCGATCTTGCTGGAGAACCCGCACACTGCGCGCGCGTCTCTCACTGCCTGCGGGACAGGGACAGGGAGAGGGACAGGTCACCGCAGACATCTCTTCTCTCCAGTAGTGCCTTCTTCTTGGGCTTTCCTCAACCTCCTGTCACCCCACTGACCACCTTCTCACCCGAGTGACCCGAGTGACGCTCCCACAGGCCCACAGCTGAGC